TTACTGTACAAAATTTAGATAAAATGGAGAAATGTAGAAAAGAGATAGAGTGACCCACAAACTGCCCATAGGACTGTGCCACACTTTTTGGTATAGTCTACTGAGCTCTTTTTCTTAGACACACGATACATGTTTAAGCATTGTTGGGATACCCTCCATCTGATTTCGTGTTCTAATTGTACAATGTGCTCCTGAAGTTGTATTTTGCATATTGATTTATCCCTGATGTATCTTTATGGTTAAATGCTCTGTGGAAAAATATTTAGTAACTACCTAACAGCCCATCATGTGGGTATAGCACAATTCATTTACTTATTTTCCTACCATTGGCTGTGGGGGGTTGTTTTATTTAATCTGTGATGAAGCTGATACTTACTCAACATGGGTTGAATTAATTTTAGAAAATGTTATAAATAATATATTGAGTATAGAAATTGTGAATAGTTTCTGTTTGTGAGAGCTACTGTTCTTATGAATTTAAGTTTTTGATTTTAATTATGTGTACATATCTTTTATATTGATCTTAAATATTCTACAATTGTCTTGGGCTCCTGAGAAATGCTACACACTCTCTCACTTCTAGAAGTTGGGCACCTCAGAAGACACAAGAGGAATTCAGTCACCTTTTCTTGCAACTTCACTGGTAACTGTCTGTGCTTGTACTTGGTGGAACTGATACATCTTTCAGATGGATGAGGATTTGCTCCAGCCTCCTGTCTCCATGAGTGTGTGACAAGCAGCCAGTGCCATCAGGGAGCTCAGAGTGCCTCCTGTACCTGGTGCAGGTGGGGATTGTCCACTCTGCACGGCTGCTACCACCAGCATGAGCTGGACCTTCCCAGCCTGTGGCCTGCATATTGAGTGGCACCCCAGGGGGCTGGTGAGGCCCTGGGGCCACACAGCAGCTCCTGGCCCTGCCCTGCTGGTGATGGCTGGCAGCCTGGTCACTGGCCCGGGAGGGCAGCTGGGTGAGCAGATCCAAACTCCCCTCAGCATGGATCTCACATAGCATAGGGTTGAGGGGAACTTGCCAGACTGTTCATTCCTACCAAGTGCAGCCCTTACTAGAGTGAGCAGGTCAATTACTTAGTATTTAATGCATGCCTACACCAAGCTGTGTGCTTGACCTGCTGCCTGTTACTGGGTCTCTTCTGTGCAGCCACTCACCCCATATGATGGGTGAAGGTGCCAAGGCTGAAATATATGTGTTAACAGGTATGGCCATGGTTACTCTTCCCACAGATGTGGAACCAGGATCTGAGTCCAGGTTGTCACACTCTAAATCCCACATGCTAACCAGGTTGTTGACTTTTAAATGCAAGCCAATTTGTAGTTGGTTTAAAAATTAATAGTTAAACAGCAAAAAAAAGTGACAATGAATATATATATGTTCATGTATAATAGAAAAGTTGTGCTCTACACTGGAATTTGACACAACATTGTAAAATGCCTATAACACAATAAAAGTGTTTAAAAATTAATAGTTAAAACTTTTTCCTTTTAGTTAGAGGAACAAAATAATATGACCCAATGTTTGGACAGACAGCAGCATTTTAGAAATTAACTACCTTCTGTGGTTTTCTCTTCACATTCCTAATGGAAAGGCCACTTTGGTTGCTTAAAGAGCATCACAGGTTCTCCTAACGGAATTGCATGCGTGGTCATTTTATCCTCCCTCCCCTAGTCCTGAGCTTTGCATAGAGTGGGGATTCAATAAATGCTTGCATTGCCAGGGCAGGTGGGGGCAGAAGTCTAACTTAGAGTCCAGGGAGGGCTTCCCTCCTGGAGTTACTCACATGGTGTTTTGCCTCTCTGTCTCCCCAGGTGGAAGGTTAGGTACTAGGAAGCTGCATCAGACACATCCCTGTTGCAGGTAGAGATATTATGTATTTCATTCAACAGCTGCCAAGGGAGAGGGAGGTGGGAATCCCTCCTGAGCAACCACTGGAGTCTGCAAAGGCCATTAAGGTAAAAACAGTTGGGAAATTGGCCAGTTTGGGTGTGAGAGAGAAACGGTTGTTTGCACACTACCCCTCGTGGCTGCCACCCCTGCTCCACCGTGCCTTCCCTCCCCTCCCCATGAAGGTGGGTCTCCATCTGTTTACCACTTGAGTTAAGGGGCTGAAAGCTTAGCCTCTTCTCTGAACATGGATGCTTGTGGAGGTTCCAGCTGTAAATGAGAGTAGCTTGATAACTGGTATTGAGCATCCTGTGTAGTACGATGTCATTTAATTGGAGCCTGATTAGACAGAACCTTCAATTAGTCAATGTGTTTTGCACCTCTCCCTCCAGGCTTCATTTCCCAAGTAAGGAGCAGACAGCAGCAGCAGTGACTGTGAGGAATCCTGTGCAGTCAGCCAGAATTCAAACTCATTTCCATCTCTTGCTGTGTATGATTCTGTACCCTGAGAATTACCAGTCAGAGTGATGCTGTTCTAGGGTGAATCATTGAACAGATTCCTCCTATGTTTTCTAGACTCTGTTACCATGCTGGAGGAGTTACAGGAAGCTCTAAAATTAAATCAGTAAGATTCAGAGGAAAATGGTTCATTGGTCCTTATTTAAAATGTCCACCTGACTGATCCATCAGTTTGGTCTTTGTGTCACTCTGTAGGTAGCAGTTGACAGATCCCTTTCAAAGCATCTTCCTTTTCAGGTTGCAAAATCAGGACAAATTACTGTTTTGTTTTTGTTTTTGTTTTAGTCAAAATGAAGATATTTTTAGTAATACAAGGATAATTATTATATAAAGAGCAAAGATTTTGTTTTTGGAGAAGAATTTAAGCATGGAGTTGACATGTGGCCTTGAACACACAGTTTCTGAGCTGCAGGGAAGTTTAAGGGAGGTTAGCCTCCCCCTTTCCTCCCACCTTTGCACCCAGTAACAGGCTGGTTGAA